TTATTGCCAGTAGTGAGTGATCTAAACGCAAGGTGTTTTCGATGTTACGTTGCGTGGAAGTCGATTACTCGATCTTTGTCGTGAATGGTTGTTTTAATTAATCCGTGGATTAACATTCATTCGGCGATTCAACCGAATCGTTAATTCTTCCCCTTTCGATATTAGATCGTAATGGTAATGGTATTATAGATTCGATATAGTTACGAATCTTCGTTACGAAACGAAACGTAATGAAAATTTTGTTAAAGGGAAAACCGGGGGCGTAATACCGCGGATTACCACCGTGTATTCTCTTAAATTTGAAAATATGGTAGCCGTGATAATAAATTAAACGTATATCTCCTCGAAATGGTTAATGCATTAACCATTGAATCTTTCTTTTAGTTGTACACGTTTACGTTGCCTGATTAAGTTGGTTTAGTTACTCATTCCTTCATAATACGAAGCCTCCGAAGAGGCTTTGATGAAAATATTTCCCTAAAAAAATATCAATAACGCAATAAAAATTTGAGTAGAGGCATAATAGCGAGGAAAGTAGTTTTCTTGCCGTAATCATCGTGGTCGTAAACGGTCTGGAACGAGGTATTGCTGATTGTGCAGAATACTTCAGGCACTGCAATATAATTCTTTATTGCTTTCGCGGGACAAGGTCATTTAAGGAAGAAATAAAAAAAATGAACATGTACTCAACGGTTTCTTTCCCTTCTATAAATAATACTGCACCTTTCTTTCTTTCTTTCTTTCTTTCTTTTTAATTTAAAAAAGAAGCAAAAAATAATAGCCGAAAAAAATTTAGATTTCGAATAAAAACAACGAACTTTGATCATACACATGAAGAGAACGAGAAAATAATAGTAAAAAAAAAGGATTGGACGTGTTTTAACAAACACATTTTATATAACGTAAAAGTTTATTTGATTTCCATGGCAATTCTCATTGTCCAGGGACTAAAATTTTTATACGAAACTGTAATCGTGAAAAGGAGAGAAAAAAATGGGTATACGTTTTAAGTAAACGTAAATTCATCATCGTCACGTTTGACTCGATTCTATTCGACGTGACAACCGTCATTCAGGGAGTATAAATTTCGATACGGAACGTCGGCGAAAGTTACGATCCCTTATGGTCCAGGAGGGATCGAAGGGCGAATAGGGAAGCTGGAGGAGGGAAAACATCAGGGCGGAGCCTGAACATAGGAGGAGGAATAAAACGCGCAAACTCGATACACGCCTCTCTCTTTCTCTCTCTCCCTTTTCTCCCGTTTTACTCTTGGAGCCAACCACCCCATCCAGTTTTCCTCTTTTCACCTTTATATAGATTTTTTACCTACCCGACCCTTCTTCTTTTCGCCAACCGAAGCTTGCGCAATCTTGTCTACGCACTCTATCCTTCTCTCCTCTCTCCGAATCATGCTCATAATTCTTTTCTACCGTCATCGTAGTTCCACTCTATCGCCATATACGCTTTACTCGGTTATTCATAAACGAGTGAATTTTCGATCGAAGGAAGGGAACCACGATCGATACCACGGATTATCGTTTTCGAAAAATGAACAGGAAGATAAGTAACAAGGATAATTACAAGTTAATCATTAGATAATTTGGTGGAAGAATATAACGTGATAATAGCGTCAATTTTAATATTTATTTCTAATTCTGCAAACAGTTGATTGAACGATAATGTTAAAGATCGATATTCTATTGATCGCTATTGACCTCTGAGTAATTTATATTATCATGTATACAGTACAAAAACGGTTGATCCTTTGTGTTAATTTATTTCGCTTGTACGATCGTGAACGCGAAACACGAAAACATAAGCACATTACTGTCATGCGGCGGCCATCTTTCCATCAATCACACGGAGAAATCCGATGTTTACTCCAATCTATCGCAATTATTGTGTCTCACTATTAATTATCACTTTAATTATTCATCGTCACGAAATGTGTATTATATATATATATATATAATAATATATAAGTGAAGAGATAATTAGTCACGTTTCAGAAGATAGATTGTCGAGATAACGAAGAATCAATTATCTTGTTGAAAAATAGATTTCCATTCAATTTTCTCTTCTAATATTAATACTATAATAATTCTACTAAAAAAATATTAATCAATATGAAACGAGTTGGATGCTTTTTTTTTATAAATAAGAGTCGTCTTGTTTGATTCGCGGCAATTCCAGTGAAAAGAAAAAAACTCGTACAATCGGGAAAATCAAATTCGGTGAACGAAATTTCGAAATATCGACACGTCACACATCGTTTCAAATGATGGTCTCAAGAAAAAAGATATCTATATCTTTTTTTTTTTTTTTTATTAAAAATAACTTAAAAAGTATCAAAATATATATAATTATATTTTTCGTTAAACAATTTTTGAACAATTTTATGTTCCATTGGAACGTATTCTAATGATTTTCCTTTAACGCTCAATTGATATTCCCGAAATCGTGGTTTCAGAAACAAACGAAAGTTAGAAGAAAACGAAAATTAAATATTATCTCGAAAATTTTTTTATTATCGATGTAAAACTGTTCAGGTATAAAAGTGTTTTAGAAATTCCAAAAAAAAAAAAAAAAAGGAAAAAAACGCGTTTTTCACGTTTCTTATAAGATAATATGCAAATGAAACGTGATAAATTTATGAAGATGCGTGGAAAAGTAGAAATTTACAAAAGGATAGAATCAGCTGTCAGAATGTAAATTCTCAGGTATATTAGGTATTAGCTGTATACGTCCTTGAAGACTGGTCACCGACACCCTGTAGCTGCTGTTTACCGAGGTTAGTCTAATACCAAGAAGGGCGCTAACAGACAATATTCAGTTGATTTGGCAACAGCTCAAGAGTTTTCCCAAAAGCAAGATATTTCTGGGCTGTTAACCACAAATCGCAATACTGCCCTTCTGTCCTATTCCAATGACAATGGGACTCGAAGAAAGGGCCTTTGCCAAAGTGTTATTAATTCCTTGATTAAGGTAAGGCCTGCGACACAGGTAAAGTATCTACGTTTTCACATTTAACACTTGTTTCGACGATGCGTCGTTTCAACATTTTACGGCATAATGCTCGAAAATAATTTTTATTTTGCATTTTTCGGGATATATAAAATGATTTTAACGATTTTTCTTTCCGTAAGAAAAACCGTAAAAATATTTATTTAATCTACAGATGGTATTAATTGAAACTAGAAATTTGTCGTTTTTAATCGAAAATTTTGTTTGTAAAAAAAGCTTTCGATAACGTAAAAGCAAAGTGTAGTAGTAATTTGGTGTGAAAAATTATCAGGTATTAGTTTAATACTTGAATCTATTTTTTTCAAATACAGCAAGTAAGAGTCTTGTAGTAGTCAAGTATATTGCTTCGATTCAATATTCGTTGTTGAAAATTTTTCATCATATAACGTACTTTCTGCGATTTACGATTTTTCAATAAAATAGTTAAATTTCCGTTTAAAATTTTACCTATATTATATTTCGATCCATTCTTCAGAAACGAATTAACGAATAGAGTTTCCAGTGTAAAATGAAGAGAAGGGAAAAACAAGTTTTATTGAAAACATTTTAATACTTGAGCCAACTAATGAAAGAAACAACGAATGCAACGAATCTAATTGTCTCGAAGCGTGAACCTTAATCTTTTACAACAATTTTATTTCCGTTGGAAATGGAAAATCACGGAAAGTGAACATTTCTCTTTCCTAATGGGTGCACTTAATGGTCAATTTTTTGCTCTCCGCATAATAAATCCGTAGACCGTGTAACAGAACAAAAAGTTCGATTTACATCGATCGATGTACTTACACGTATCGCATTACACGTTCGTATTGTTTCTATCCGCTATACCTTGGCCGTTTCACGCGTGTATTGGATTATCAACGAAATTATTACGCGATACGCTATAAATTGCGAAGTAACGTGTATATAAATATGCATGGCGTGGCCATCGAGACATGTGTGATGCTCGTGCAACTCGTTGCACGAGAGTTCACTATCTCTCACTCAATTTGAGCCTCATCCGCCGTAAGCGGATCGACCAGGCTGGCCTTTTAACGTCGGATAGTCTCGCCTCTCCTGGCTCTAGAGCATAGACGCCTATAACAAACATTATCCGCCATAATGCCCCCGTGTAAACATACCTACCAACGTGCATCGTACTCTCCTCTCCTCTCCTCTCTTCTCTCCTCTCCATCTTTTTCCGACTAACACATTGTATCTCCACTTTCGCCCGTCCCGTCGAATAAAAACTTGGGAGTTTATTTAGCCGTTTAGCGTCTAGCGGGAAGTTAAGTTTTTCGGATAAGCCGCCTTTTTAGCATAGGCCCCACCCCCTCCTTCCGGCTTCCTTCCGGTTTAGCACGCGCCGCTTTAGCATTTGGATCGGTTCTATCCCTTCTAATTCTGTACAATCGATTTCAATTGTGTGCCTTCAATTTATTCAAACGACGAAGCGTGTTAATTATCGATAACAAACGAATATATATAAATTTGAATAGTATTTATAAATCTTCGTACGGGCGTAGTTTCGTACGGGGCAAATTAGAAGAAGAAAGGGAAAGCGAGGGAAGTGACGCGACGCGAGAGGAGGCTGGTCAAATTGTTGTTTAGGGTTGATCGAGACATTGGTGTAACGTTGGTCGTAAAAAGGACGAGCCATTCGTACGGATATCCCTGTTTCCAGCCAGGTTCGTTCCGAAATCCCCACCCCCGGAGAGGGACGAAGGATGAAGGAAAACTACTTAAACTGTTAAAGGTGGGGATAGTTACCTATACAGGGTAAACTCGTGGCTGGCATATTCGTCCGTCAATTTTGTCATACTTCTCGAAGCAGTAACACCCGATGAAACAGTGACAGTGGGAGAAGAATCAGGAAAATCGTTAAAATTGTTTAGAACAACGGCCAGTGATAGGACAAGGAATGTTACAAGCAACAGTGAGAATTTTAAGGTAGTGTAGTGTGAAGCGCACCAGTGAATCGAAGAACCTTTCCCTGGATCTTTATTGGATTTCGCTTAAATGGACTACACACAGTATCCCGAGTTTAGTCATAGGCTTGTGAGTTTACGTTTTAAACGGCATCCTCTTAATAAGTAATAACCTTAATAATAATAATAATAATAATAAATTTAATCGGTAAATTTATAAATTTTAAAACGAAAGTGAAGAAACAAAGCAAACAATTCATCCCTGAGACGAGAATATTCACACGTTCCATTTCCAATCGAGCGCGCGCGCAATAAAAAAAGAAAAGAAAGAAACGCCAATCAACGACCAGAGAGCCAATGTCCATCATGTCCATCCACCTCTGTGTTCGCTCACCTTACCCACAGCCCGCAAAAGCTGGAAGCGCGCAAGTGTTGGAGGCACACTTTTCCCTTGTCTGCGCTAACACGATGGCGAATTATGGGTTTCAGGTGGAGGATTACGAAGGTTACAGTTGCGCGCGAAACGGCAACGTGTCGGTATCACAGGAGCCGACGACGAAGGAGAGCAGCGCGAAGTTACCTTCGCAGCCGGGCCAGAACAATCATCGGGAGGAGAGCAGCTGGTGGGCGGCGGAGGAGGGCGGGGGTCAAGAGATAAGGGAGCGCGATAAGGGTGCAGCGGTGGCGGGTGAGCTGGCTTGCCTCGCGGGTTACATGGCGGGGTACTTGAAGGCGGCGGGCGCCACTTGCGCCCCGACCGGTAGTCCTCAGTACCATCCCCACAGTCATCCGGCGATGGGGGTTGGTACTCATCCGCATCCGCACTCTCACCCGCACCCGGGCGCGCCGCATCCCGGCCTGCCCTCGCCTTTCGCCCTCGCCACTCACGGCCATCCTCATCCTCATCCCTTGGAGCACGGCCTCGCAGCGTTTCCCCAAGGTTAGTGTGCTTTCGTGTATCATCGTCGTATTATATCGCCAATTTTACACACACGGAATTTTTCGAGTCGAGACTGTTCTCTTTTTGCCCCGAAGACAACCACGAGTGATTCTCGCACGTTCTTACTTCGGAGATAAATTCGGATTTCGCGGACGTATGTTTGCGCGAAATTAAAGGAAAAATGCTGAACTGAATGACGGTATGAAAACGGTACTTTAGAAAGAAATTTAATTCTGAATAGTAAAAGGGATAAGTTGGTCATTATCGTTTAGAGAAGAAATTATTTCTTCCTTTGTTTGCAATTGCAGTCACCCGTAATACGCGAGATTTTAGAATGTCTCGTTTCTCTAATTTTGCCAAGTTTATTTTTGCCAAGTAGTTACCTGCAAATGTGACAATAGTTCATTGGTTGCGATAGGTAATGGAACAAAGGATATTGACATTTTCGAGGCAAGTGAAAGTGTTGACGTATGAGCGTGAGGTGGCGTTACCTGTTCGTTGCAACATTTCCATTCTTCATTTTTCCTCTTCTTCGTTCAAAAATTAACTTTCTTGTTTCTTGATCCGAATCGAACAACGAAAAAAGAAAAATTAGAAATTAGTTTATTAATTCGATTATCCGATCTTTTTATTTACAAAAAAAAAAGAAGAAGAAGAAGAAGAAGAAGAAAAAAGTACAAAAAAATATGACAGTTTGGAAGAATATATCCTTTCTTTCATTGTCTTCGACATCTTCGTCGTTCTGTACGTCGTGGATACGTAAATCGTTCCCACCTTTCCCTTTCCCCCCTAAAAATTACTTTATTCTTTTTTAGCGCGTTTTAGCGAGGCTTTAAAAAGAACATTCGTTTGATTGGGAACGAAGGATTGATACGATTAAATAGGTATTTGGATGGATTTATTTGGTAGCTGCAAACATTTCGTACCATTTATCCGAGTTTTACGCTCCCGATCTCATTGTTCGATGGATGATACACGTTTCCTGCATTTCGCGAATCGTGCGGTCTGTTATCTCCTAGTAAAAGTATTTGGTCTGTGCGCCGTGCCAGCCATTATTGATTGTCATGCAAATCGATGCATCGACTGAAGCCGTACAAAAGTCGAAGTAAACTCGAGGGCTTCTTTTTTAACTATAGTCAACGCGTGTATCATTCCGTGGCAGCCGCTCCCGTGCGCATTTCTTCTTCCCTTTAAGGTATTGTCCGAATATTTTTCTTTTTTATCCGCAATTAATTTCCAACCTCCAAAGTGTTAAATCGCGTAAATACAATACCAATCTACCTTTCTTTTTTCATTTTTCATCTTTACTAACTTTAAAACTTTAAAAATCCTTGCCGATGCGCCAAAACGAAAAGTTTAAACGAAACAAAACAAAACAAAAAATAGAAGAAAAATAGATAGAGCAGGATGATCGGAAATAACAAGCGACGAATACAATAATGGCAAGTCGTTTCCACCGCGGCCGGATCCACGATTGATCAGTCCTTCCTTTCATCTTTCCTTCGCGTTTCCACGCGTGTCCTCGCGCGTAACCGAGCCATACCCGCGCTTTCTCTCCTCGTCTTCGTCTTTTCCACGAAGGGGCAGGAGGAGGAGAGGGGGCCAAAGTTACGAGAGAGAGAGAGAGAGAGTATTAC